GAAACTTGCATGGTTAAAAAGAAGGGCGCCGCCTACGTTGGGCACGACTTCCGCCTCATTTTTACAATGCGAGAACTCTATCTTGTATTTCTAGTATCTTTGATAACATTAAAGGTATACGCGCGCATGCGCCTGAGCTGTTTGGTAACGACATGGCGTCCATGCGCGAAGTTGGCCAAACTCTCTCTCTATTGTTTAATAGCTCTATGCTCTGTCTACGGCTCTGGAAAAAAACAGAGCCGTAGATAGAGAGAGTTTGGCCAACTCGGTTTCAATCACGTGACTTACACCGGCCATGTTGTCACCAAAACAAAACAACGCGATAGGGTAGGAAGTTAGCAGTTATTATAGATGATTAATGCTTATGTTGGGTTTGGGGTTGCTGCAATCGATCCAACAAAGAAACAAAAATGTATTAATTTCCTTAAATTCCAAAAAGGAGGAGGATTTGGGATTATATTTTAACTTCGCATGGCGATCGAAAAATCTCGCTATCCACGTAGTAAATAAAGGCATGTACCGCACGCCCCACTTCGCGGTAATACCTACTGTACTAGGCCTAGACAGGCCTAAATTTCGGTACTTCTTCGGCCGAACACTTTAAGGTAGTACTTAAATCAGCTTAATTACGATGATAATAAAAAAATAAAAAAGGAAGAATTTCAAGCAGCAATGATTTATAAAAAGATGCAATGTTGCACTTTGCTGTTAAATTATATAACTAAATTTCCAGAAAGCTACATGAAGTATCAGTCAAAGGTAGCTTAAATTATAATTAAAAATAAAAATTGAATCCTCCAATAAAAGCGAAATCTTGTCCAAGGAGTCTTGGAAACTTGGAGCTACGCAAACATGCCCAACTGTGCTTTACAAATCAATTAATTGTGCAACTAAAAGATTTTAAAGATAAAAATATATTTTAAAGATATAGGCCCCCTAGGCCTAATTGTATTATAATATATTGATTGTTTTAATACATATTTTAAATCAAAACGTTTAAATGTTTTACAAATTACAAATCAAAATTTCAATGAATAGTAAATAATGAATAATAAATAAATAATAATAATAATAATAAATAATAATAATACAGTAATAAAATAATGATAATATTATAACTCACTAATACTATAAACAGAAGTGTGGAGAATGCTGCTATTTTACTTACAAGGCATAGCTTCTTGATTATGTTGAATGATTAGGCATATGTTGTACAAAAATTTCTCTCAATGCAATAATTCTTCAACTTTGATTTATTGTTTAGATTACAATTTACAAATAGGCCTTGGCTATTTGTTGGTTTGAAGATGACCAGCATATTTTATTTCATAAATTAAATTTTACGAAGTCATAGGCCTAGAGACAATTAGAAAACTTTCATGTTATTAATATTTTTATCATTCATTTACAGGCGAAATTAATATTATCGCCGACGATTCACAAACCTACTCTGTCTGCACAACCAACCTTTCTCCTCTGCAGTGTTGACTCTTCTTAGGAGCCTCATTCATAGAGTAGGCTGCTAGCAACTAGGTATAGGCCTAGATGACAGACTTTTAAAACAAAAAGATAATCGTAACGAAAAAAAATAAAGAATCGTCCTCACTTTATCTTCTCGAAATAATACAGCACGTCACTGATTAATTAATTCCAAAGTTAGGTAAATATGATTATACAATATATGATATTTACAATGATATGTTAAAATCCCATAATTGAATTGTCCTCATGAACAGAATAATGAAAGAAAGTTTATGCAGCATCAGTGTTTTATAAAATGTTATAAAGCTATACGCGCGCACGCTGTTTGGTGACAACATGGCCGGTGTAAGTCACGTGATTGAAACCGAGTTGGCCAAACTCTCTCTATCTACGGCTCTGGAAAAAAAGTAATTACAGCCCCCTCTATAATTAACAGCGCCATTTTGGATAGTTGTCTTAGCAGCCAGACGCCAAAATAAGTACAATCCAAAACAAAAGCATTGTTGTAGAAACTGTAGGTTCACCGAAACGTATGGTGACAGTGTAAGTTTTCACATAAAATGTTATTCTTTAAGATATTGTACTTGTATTGAAGTGTTGGAATATGTATTTAAAAGTATAAACTTGCGTTTAATATTATGTTTTTCTTGTTTTGACTGGTTAGGGTACTGTGAACCTGTGAACTTGCTCGACTAATTCATTCGTTTTTGTTGTGCTTACCTAGTTTAGGCCTAGGCCTAGGCCTAGCCTAGACCTAGGCGGCCTAGGCCCTAGGCTTAGTGGCCTATCTTTAATTTAATAAGCCTTCTACATTGGGCAATTTTGCTGAATTTTCCAGTAATGCCCAATTACCGATTCTGATATTCTGAGAAGTGTGTAAAGCTGGGCCCTGGGGGTTCAGTCGAATTACACGCTAATTAATAATACTAATAGGCCTAGCTAGGATAGTAGGGCCTAGGCCCTAGGTAGTAAAACAGTCAAATTTTAACTTTTTTGATTGACTGTTTTTACTCCTTTTTAAGTTATACTAGAACACATAGGCCTATATACAAATGCCAGTCAAGTCACCCCCTTGTAAAGTCGCCCCTTACAAAGTCGCCCCCTTGTCAAGTTGCCCCCTAACCAAGCCA